CCATCATTGTTGTTTGGCGGGCCCAGGCTGGATTCAAACCCTGCCACCTTAGGTGTATGTGGCTGGCGCCTTAGCCACTTGAGCCACAGGTGCCGAGCCCAGGGTCTCACTCTTGATCAGGCTGATCTCAAACTTGTGAACTCAAGAAGCCATCTGTCAGCCTTAGCTTCCAAGAGCGCTAGGATAACAGGTGTGAGCAACCACGACTGGCCTGGAGGTTTTATTTATTTATTTTTTGAGACAGAGTCTCACTGTGTTGCCCTCAGTAGAGTGCTATGATGTCATAGCTCACGGCAACATCCAACTCTTGGGCTTAAGCATTTCTCTTGCCTCAGCTTTCTAAGTAACTGGGACTACAGGTGCCCACCACAGTGCCTGGCTACTTTTGTTGCAGTTGTCAACTGTTTTTTTAGCTGGCCTGGGCGGGTTTCGAACCCACCAGCCTCGTTTTATGTGGCTGGCACCATAACTGTGCTCCGGGTGCCAAGTGTAGAGTTTTTTTTTTTTTTTAAACAGGCAAATTAGAAGGCAATTAAAGCCATTTTTCTACCACATCCCAAAAAGGAATATGGAACCATTGTCTGATGTTTATTATGCTAAGACAGAAAAATTGAGCAGCATGAGCATTGAACAAATTAGATAGAAGTGACACGTGAGAGAAAATTAGGAGCAAAAGACTGATAAGAAAGATTATTTGCTTTCAGAAATAATTGCTCTGAGAATTTTCCCCTGGGAAAGGGAGAAGAGTATTTTCCTAGTTATCTTGTTCCCATACAGAGGTATGGAGCTTTTGGATTCCTGCCTCGCCTGAGTGACACGTGAATTTTTAGAGATGGGAATCCACGTACTGTATTAATCATACTTCTAAGGCAGTCTTTGGCTGTTGTTTTTTTGAGACAGAGATAGATGTCTCTGTCACTCCAGCTAGAGCAGGTGTCCTCAAACTACAGCCCACAGGCCACATGCAGCCTGCCTAGGACATTTATCCAGCCTGCTGGGTGTTTTTGCCGCCACTGACTGTCCTGCTTAGCAGCTGACTCATCCCAGGGCCCGCAGTCCAACTGTCCAACTGTCTGAGGGACAGTGAACTGGCCCCCTGTTTAAAAAGTTTGAGGACCCCTGAGCTAGAGAGTAGTGGTATCTCGTAGCTCTCTGCAATCTGAGACTCCTGGGCTCAAGTATTGTTTCTGCCTCAGCCTTTTAAGTAGCTGGGATTATAGGCATGCACACAAAGGCCAGCTAATTTTTCTGTTTTTAGTAAAGATGAGGTCTCTTGCTAAGGCTGCTCTCTTGAGCTTAAGCAGTCCTCCCACCTATGTCTCCCAGAGTGCTGAGATTATAGGAGTGAGCTACTGCATCTGCCTTTCTGGCTTGTTAAATAATTATTGACAAAGCCAGGAAAATCAGCCATTTTATTTCCTAAAGAAATGGATAAATATAAGAGAATTGTATTTCACTTTGATAAGTTGGAAATAGAAAATTTAGTTATTCCGGGCAGCGCCCGTGGCTCAAGGAATAGGGCTGGAGGTGGTGGTTCCAACCCAGCTCCAGCCAAAAACTGCAAAAAAAAAAAAAAGAAAAAAGAAAATTTAGTTACTCCGTTTTTTTTGAATGAAGGAGACTGCTCAGAAAAGGAAAATAATGGTTATTTGAAGCCTATTAGGATGTGTAACATTAAGTAACCTATGAATTAATTTATTTGAGCATATTCTTTTTTTTTTTTTTGAGAGTTTCACTTTGTTGCCCTTGGTAGAGTGATATGGCATCGTAGCTCACAACCTCAAACTCTTGGGCTCAGGCGATTCTCTTGCCTCAGCCTCCAGAGTAGCTGGGGCTACAGGCACCTGCCAAAATGCCCAGCTATTTTTAGAGATGAGGTCTCACTCTGGCTCAGGCTGGTCTTGAACCTGTGTGAGCTTAAGCAGTTCACCACCTCAGCCTCACAGTGCTAGGATTATATAGGCATGAGCCACCGTGCCTGGCCCTATTATGAGCATGTTGTTCTTTTTTTTTTTTTTTTTTTGTCCAGTGGTGGGGGCGGGGGCGGGCCGGGTTTGAACCCACCACCTCCCGTATATGGGGCCAGTGCCCTACTCCTTGAGCCATAGGAGCCTCCCTGTAAGCATATTCTTGATCATTAAATGTATATATAAGACATGGCCTTAGTGTTTTGCATGCCTGGGTCTGCCTTGATGACATCACTTGTAGAAGACATTATTTTAGCAGTGGAAATCTACAATGTATATGAATAAACATGAGCGAAATGAAGTAGTTTCACAAGTACTTCATGTTACAGACCAAAAAAAAAAAAAAAAAGATTTTGTTGGCTTTGTGCCTATGGCTCAAGCGCCAGCCACATACACCCAAGCTAGCGGGTTCTAGCCTAGGCCCGCCAAACAACAATGATGATTGTAACAAAAAACAGCAGACATTGTGGCCGGCACCTGTAGTCCCAGCTACTTGGGAGGCTGAGGCAAGAGAATCGCTTAAGCCCAGGAATTGGAGGTTGCTATGAGCTGTGATGCTATGGCACTCTATCCAGGGTGACAGCTTGAGGCTCTCTCTCACAAAAAAAAAAAAGATTTTGTTTGTTTTACCAATTAGTATCAGCACTTCAAGAAACAATAGAAACTGAGACTGGCTTATATACCTTCAATGAGAACAGAGTCTTTTTACAGTTTAATAATATTAGAAGATAATGTTATAATAATGGGTTAGTAAAAGAATTTATAGAAAATGATTGTGGAAGCCCAATTTTCCAAAATACTGCCAGACCTTGGAATAGGTCAGCAAACTCTTAGAAACTAATGATATTATGTTATTTATATAACTGCTTAGTATCTGGCTTAGTGTGATGATTTGAAAGCATTACGTGAATAGTTGAGAACTGAGAAACTTCTAGGTGGAAAATAAGAGTTGTTTCCAATTAGGGCAGTAACACTTGTCATAATGTTTTTCTTGATTCTTTGACTTTTCCCTATTTTTTGACCTATGAGTGATAGCGGAGAATACTCCCATAACTTCTACAATTCCGCATCCATGCCTTACTAGTAGTTTCAAAGGTGAGATCTTTCCATTAGGGAGGGAGAGAAGTAATGTTTTGAATGCCTGTTAATAATGATAGTTTATAAGATTATTGTCAACTTGAGACTCCAATTAGATTTTTAAAGATTTCTTTCTTTTTAAGGGACGTTTTCATGTATGTGACAATTTTTTTAGGCCATGAATATTAAAATAGAACCAGAAGAGACAACAGAAGCAAGAACTCATAATCTGAGACGTCGAATGGGTTGTCCAACTCCAAAACGTGATAATGGTAAGAAAGTTTGTGAATGGGGGTAAAATAAAAATAATTGGTTTTTTTTTTTTTTTTTTTTTT